GTAAGATTATAATATATTTTAACCACTATCTATCATTATGTATAAAAATATACTGCTATAGCATCATCACATGAAATGAATTTAACACACAATACATTTATGGACCATAAAAGAGATAGGATTTTTAACGGGCTACGATGTGCACGGGTTCAGCTAGTAACATATATTAAGTCATCGAGATAAAGAATAAACTTATTAATAAACCTATTCTTTATCTCGATGTATTATTWAGTATAAAGATGATAAAGTGTGATAGTGATACGTTAATGTARGCAATGTAGAGCACCCATAAGGGRGGGATTGCCGAGCCTGGAATACAAGGGGCCATTGAAATTAATTTGGAAATCTTAATAGGTACGAATACTTATTTTGTATTAAGTAAATAATATTTTATAATATAAATGTATATCTGTAATTGTAATACATTGAGTAATTGTAATCGCTTGGAAATGGTTGCATTTTATTGGAAATTTTGTATACAGCCCGCAAAAACATTTAGTACAGTGACCCAAAATTTGATGTATACGGGGTCAACTTATATGCATATTCTAAGTTTTAAGCATATATTATCTTCCTAATATATTATAATATAAGTATTTACCCGTAGGTATATGACATAATATAAACATACAATATTATGAAGCGTTATTATTCGTCTTTAGATAACATCTGTATATTTTATATAATATATACTTTATTATTTTATTATTTAAAATTATTTTACACTAAAAATTCTAACGTCGATTACATAATACTAAATACTAAAATATATTATATATATATATATTTCGCAGTTTTGCATGTGCTGAAGTTACGGCGACGATCTCAGTTTTTGTAATGTTCTTGCAGAAAGTCCGCCACGTGTTTGAATACCCTGTCTGGATAGTTCAAGTGCACGTCGTGGTCGCCGCTGACCAACCGGATGGTCACATTCGGCCGTTGGCTGTAGAACTCGTAAGCATCCTTCAGGTACGTGGAGTACCGGCCACAGTTCTCGTCGGCCAACACGAACACGGTCGGGCACGCGACGCTGCCCAGGATCTGCTTATGTTGGTCGAACGTCATCAGCGGATAGAACGCYAATTTCAAACGCTGGTCGCTGGCGAACGTATATTTGTCGCCGTCGCCGTCCACGCGGGCCAACGCTCGGCCGGCCAGTATGCGCGCGGATTCGTCGGTCAGCCTCGACGGCCGGCTGGCCATCATTTTGCCGACCGCYTCGTCGAACGTGTACGACGGTGGCTGTCGGCCACACTGTCGCCGGTGCAACGACTGCGCATTATCGATCCGGCTGCGTACCGCGGCCAACGTGTCGCCCATDTCCACCGGCCGAGGCCCCATGGTGTCCAGCACGATCAGGCACCGGACGCGTTCCGGATAGACGCCCGCTAGCCACGAACCCAGCTGTCCGCCGAAACTGTGTCCCAGATACGCCAGCTCGGGCCAACCGAAGTGGTCCATTACCCATTTGATCGCGGCCAAATAGTTGGTGAACTCTAGCGGCACGTGAGCGGGGAAATGGTCGGAACGGCCATGGCCGGGCAGGTCGACGCACACGTAATAGTAATCGTCAGGCAACGATGGCAGCAACGTGACGAACGTGTCGCAGTTGTCTTGGATCCCGTGCACGCAAAGAACGGCAGGACGAGTATTGTCGCCGTACGTTTTTGCTGCAAATAAAATTCGTTTCGATATCAATTTACATGATGTATCGTGCAAGTACTGCAAGTTGGAGTTAGACGTGGCGAATGTCTGCTGCATATAAACAGTAGTAATAATAATATATTGATAAAAAAAATAAAAATAAATATGGATATTTATCAGAAAATAAATAAAAAACCACCAAATTAAAAGTATAAAATCGTAGTTTTATTTAAAAAAAAAAAAAAAAACACTTATCAATGTCACGACATATTATATAATTGCATTAAGGTTCAATGCGCATGGATATTTGAAGTAGATATATTAAACCTATATATAGTTGAAATCGACGAGTTTTCACAAAATCACAATATATGAATTAATAAAAATAAAACATAATACATATATAAMTTTATATAACGCCCAGCGAATGACACGATAAACGGACCCACTCCTTGTGTTTGGTAATTAACACTATATATTATAAAAATCACCATTATACAAACTAAAAAAAACCATATAAAAATCAAAAAAATAACCTAAACCTGACCAATCACAGCTTATATAATTGTTGAAATATAATAAGTATACGCTTCTATTATAGTAGCTGAACCTCATAGAGATGATTAAATTTTGCTGCGTTCGGACAGWAGAAATGTATTGATCAAATCCGCAACCCTTTCCGGATGGTTCAAGTGTACGTCGTGATTCCCGTTTACTTTGACCACACGGACATTCGGGTTTAACTTGTAAATTTTCCTCACCAATTTATTCCCTGGAGACTTTTGTAGCGGATTGTCCGAGGCGCGCAAGTACAAAACGGAACACCGGATGCTGCTCACCACGGCCATGTACTGAGTCGGCGTAAACATCTGGTTGTAGAACACTTTGAGCCGCTGGTCCATGCAGAACGCATGACGTCCGCCCGGGCTGTCCACCAGAGACCGTTCGACGAGCACGTTCGCCGAATCTCTGGTTAACTTGGACAACCGTTTCGTGATTAGCGTGTCGACGGCCTGTTCGCGTGTGTACGACGGCGGCGACCCACTAGCCGCCTTCCTCTCGATCGTTAGCAGACCGTCGCACGCCGTTCTCAGCCATTTGACCGTTTCCTGCGCGTGTACGGGCTCCGGACCCGCACAGTCGATCATCACTAGGCTGGCGACGTGTTCCGGGTACAGGGACGTGAACAGGCTGGCGATTATGCCACCCATGCTGTGTCCAATGCACTTGAATCGGTCCCATTTCAGGTAGTCGATGACCCGCTTGACGGCCAACGCGTAACACTCCATCGTAATACGGAAACCGGGAGGATAGTGCGACGACCGCCCGTGTCCCGGAGTGTCCACGCACACGTAATAAAAACCTCGACGGAGCAACGGGATCAGCCTGTCAAACGTACCGCAGTTATCCTGTATCCCGTGCAGGCATAGTACTCGGGCATCGGAACAATGGCCCCAAGTTTTCGCTGAAATTAAACACATTGAAACACGTTCACTGGTTTGTGTTATTAGCGGGGACGGGATACCATTTAAGTTTAGCAATGGCGTAACTCGTCGTGACATTTTTTAATTGCTAATATTGTTTAATTATTATTATTATTTTGCAATTTACCCATTCACGATGTCGACTTTTAGGCTTTTTAAAACTTTTTGCGCGAGATGAAAATTCGAAAGATTCTATAATTAGTCCCCAAACTTCAAAGGAAAACATTTACAAGTAAGATGCTTACTAAAACAAGTTCATACAATTTTTGAGTGATAAGAAATATTTTTAAAACCGTAAAACTAAACATGAAATAAATTTAAACGATGTTCTGTATTTAAGATTTTCCCTTTATCCGAGTACTGACTTTTATAGAGTTTTTTGCTTAAAAACTAAATATTTTTTGCCATCTATGGGTCGGGCCACAGTGCGGTATTTTCGACGTCGGGAAAACCCATTCCGAGTGGCTGCACCACACTAGAACGGCAAACCCGTTTATGGCGATTCTATTTTCAATTTATTGATGCACATACGTAATTTTTTTATTTCTCATCTTAAGAATCTAAATATCCTAGAAATATATTAGTTGCACTGTTTTTCTAACCTA